TGACCACAGAGAATCAGGACCTCAGGTTTATGTCTCATCCGAAGGACAGCGCCTTTTTACAGTACAGTGTCCCCGTCACTACTGGGGCGTTAGGACCCACACAGACCGCAGGGTGAGCGCCCCGTACTGGCCCCACTAACACCTCTTTCAGCAGCAACCTTAGCTTTCCCAGGAGGTCTCCCATCCAGGTACTGGATTTGGCTGGAAATCCGGTGTATACCATTAACACTCAACTGGAAATAAGCAGTTAAATATTGATCACAGAAAAAAAACAGCTTCTTTAAGGAAGGATAGTTAAAAGAGAACTAGCTTTACACTTCCAAATAGTACATAATTCAGGTACAAAGTACAAATTAATAGTACAAATAATTTATAATCTTTGGTACAAATTTAAGGTTGTAGACTAACAATCTATTAGTCTATCACTCTGTTTCAGTATAGTTTTCATATCTCTCTCACTTCATCCTCTGTGTAAGTGTGGGATATTTTGCGGAATGAGTGTATTATGTTCTGTATGAGGCTTGGGTTTTGTGGTTTCTGATTGGGTCATACAGTTGACAGGATGGACAGATACGATACCAGAAACGTTTTACTTTTTAATGTGCAGGTTTCCTCTAGGGGGTTTCTTATCCTTTCCTTTGGAGGTTTTAAACTGATCATGTCAGGAATATGGCGCGATGTGGCAGTGGCTGACTTTTCGCTTTCCTGTGTTGAATTTACTTTACTAATCTGCCTCAGATTATAAATGGGGCTCAGTTGTGGTTCTTGCTATTAATCGTATATATTCGTGGAACCTCATTCTAACTAAACCCTTAGGCCCATTTCTTAAAAATAAGAATTGATTTATGTGAAAGCAGCTCTTGGCCAAGATTACGTTATGACTGTATTTGACTACAATTCGGAATCTGAATGTGTTGTGAAGGTTACTCATCGATAATTGGATATGTCTGGCAGACAGGTAGCCATTTCACAATGTTCTGTGTGAGGCACACTTACAGTATATGCTCTTGTCACTGGTCTGGTCTGTTGGTGAATGTCCTGTATGTATCTCACTAGGATTAACCCTAAAGTGTGAAACAGCTGTCTATGCCTGATAACTTTGGGTGTGTATACATGCAGCTAATCAATATTCACATTCCATTCCATTCATTTTCTCTTTGTAATTAAGACAATAGATTGTCTTGGGGCACAATAATTAGCATTGCTGCTTTTCCTCTCTGGGACCCTTGGTTCATTTCTGGAACTGGGGTGCTGTCTGTGTGGAGTTTGTATGTTCTGCCTATGTTCATATGGACTGGTTTCCTCCCACAGTCCAGAGACCTACTGGTAGGTAACATAGCCTCTGGGAAGACTGGCCCTGGAGTGCAGGTCTGTGTTCATTCTTCCTGTCCAGGGTGTACCCTGCTTTTTACTGCTTGCTTGCCAGGATAGGCTCCGGCTCCCCTACAACCCTGATCTTGTTTCCTAAGTGGTTGGGAAATGGATAGATGTACAGTATAACTGAGAAATGTTAGATACAGTATAATTTTAAAAAGATAGTCATTTTAGTTTGAACCTTTTAATACTAATCACCACCACCATCATCATCATCATCATCATCATCATCATCGTAGCCTTCGGAGTTTATCTGCCTGGGTATGTGAACTATCTCTGAAAAAGTTATTTTTCTCATAGTTGTGGTTTTTAATCAGTATCCCATTGCTTTAGAAGTTCTGTAAGCTATAAGACAACAGTCATTTTGGGGTCTTTATTTTTCCATATGAGTGTATGAAAAAAGAACCGATCCCTGTGGACAGCAGGCTGAAATATTCGACACCTGACAGTAACCTGTTTTTCCCTTTTCCTTTCGCTATCTCCTGCCTACTGAGACAGCGGGTGAAGTCCAGTCGCCGATGTTACTGTACCAGCTCAACGTTAACGCCTGACAAGGCACGATAACCATTCTATCGGCACAATAAACTCACTGTTTTGAGCAACAGCACATTACCATCAACAAAAATAACAGCAAATATTTTACTCTTTCATATTTAACTTAAAGGACAAAAATCATTTTGTTCCTGAGCCAGTCGGTCCCCTTCAGAGATAAAATACAGCACCCAGAGCCGGTATCAGAATGAAAGTAAATCAATCTGGCAACTCCCTACAGAGCAAACCTTCTTCTGTACCTCTGCAAAGAGGAGAATCGCCACAGGATGTGTGTGGTATTTACCACGCTGTGGCAATTACCAGACCCATCCTAATAAAAGACTGTTCAAATGACGTTTAATAGGATAGAAAGGACTTTTCCTCCACCGTGAGACGTTTAAAATGCAATGCGTATAAAGACTAACTTAAGTCTTCTACTTCGTTTGAGTTCAATTAGAAGTTCATTTGACTTCAAGAGGAACATAATTAGAGAAGAGCTCATTTTCACTTCCGGTCAAGCGAAGCAGGCTTTTCCACTTCAAAAAAGTCTTTCATGACGACTTCTGTAGAATCTTTTAAAACAGTGCCTCGTTCGTAAAAAAAAAACCCCAACATTTACACTTCTACCTAAGCCACATTAAAAAGAGCTTCGCAGGTGTAAATACATTGAGCGGATCCGCCACATTGCTGCTGCCCTCTACTGGACGTGGATATCAATGCATCCTCACCCTGTCTCTTCACTTTCTGAAACCCTTTATGTGCTTAGACTGCCTCTACCCCCAGCCATCAATTTTTTTCTGGTGAGAGTCGTGACACCCCCCGCAGCCTGTCACCAAAGGACACGACACAGGAAAGATTCTCTCACAGCCCCAATTTCGAACAGCGCATCAAACCTAAACAAAACCTCTTTGGAAAGTGAGAAGAAATTGGAACATGCAGACTCCACCTAGAAGAGTCACCAGCCCGAAATCAAACCCAGCACCCAAGAAATATGAGGCAGCAGTGATAACTATCACATCTCTGTCTTGTAATGCAGTGTAATTGAATGGATGTTAATAATGAAAAAATCTATACCAACACACTGTATTGAATTTGATCATCACAACCGTGTTGGGGACAACAAAGTTTTTGCACGGAACTAAGTGACATCAGGTGACACCAACATTCTGAGACAGACTGATTCCATTATGATGTCACTGCAGACATTAGAGCCGTGTGTTGGGCGTCCTGTGCTATCATTTGGAAGATCAAGATGAAGCTGAAAGCTGGAGTGGTTCTTCACTATCTGAACTTGGACACGACGTATTGTCTGTTATCATTAAGAAATACCAAGATATTGGTGGAGTATTTTCGGCTCCTGGATGTCCACAACAAGAACACTCTGAACGGTACCGAGAATCTTGACGTTTTACGTGAATGTGTTTTGGGACTGCTTTTGACTGCTGAATGAGTCAGAGAGAGCGTTAATAAAAGGTACTAGAGGAGCTCGGACTTCAGTGTGCTATGCAAAAGATTGAAAAAGTGTTGCTGTTGTACATAAAGAAGTTTAGTTGGTAGCTTTCCTTCCTTAGTAAGACAGAGGCTTAAAAATGGCAAATGGTGTTAGAAATTGTATTAACAGAGTAACATACTAATGAGGAATGCAAATGCAACTGTGCATGATTTTCTTTAGCTGCCCACTGGCACACACCATTCACCATAGTGCGATTTGCATTTTAAATAGTAAACAGTTTTAGAAATTGAGGAGTCTTGTTCTACAGGATAATAAAACACTGAGCACAGGTCATTTGCTAAATGATGCCAGGTGTTCAGTTTCTGTTTTTTTTTAAGAATGAGTTGATTAAGAATCTGCATAAATGGCTATTTAAAAAGAAGACAGTAATTAATACAGGAACAGTGAAAGACATAGCCAGGCCCCAGTGTGACTAATGAAGATTACCAAGGTGCTATCAGCATGTTTGAAGGCAGCCTGTCTGTGCGATAAATTGCGCAGAGAATGAAATGATCACCCTTTTGTTTCGGTGATGTCCTGGAAAGCAGAGGGTCACCATACCAACCCAGAACAGTCAATCTGTGTGACCCACCTATGTTTTCTTCTTAATTTTGGTCAGACTGCAGCAATAGAAACTCCAGGAAGTAACAAACAATAGATCAGCAGAAGGACTGTAGATGATGGATCTTCATACTCTAAGGACATTCAGGAGTAAAATATTGGCACTTGAGAGATTCAATCCCTGTGTTTTTTCAGCCATACATTTATCCGAGCTGACAGAAGCAAGAGAGGTTGACTTTTTTTATTTACAGCTGAATGCTGTTTTTCCCTGGACAAATCTGAAGAAAGACAATGGGTGTGGAGACGTTGTGGGGACAGTGTTATGCTGACGTGTGTAAACCAACCTCTGAGGGGGAGGGGGAGGTGTGATTATGTGGTGAAAAACCGTGTGAAAAACACAAGAAAACCTATGGTAGCAGTTGAGGGGAAACCCCTAAAGTCCCCCAGCCAACGTTTTTTCTGTTCCTGGGGAACCAATCCTTAAATGTTGTTGCAGAAGAGCAATGCGAGACCGCAGAGTGCTAGGATTACAATGGCATAACTTCAAGACAAGACTGTCAGGGTTCTCGTGCACTTCTTACTGTCTCCCCTTCTTCTCCCCTCGCAGATGTCCAGTTTTACCACTTTCTCAGACATGTGACCGATCTGAGAAAGAAGGACATCATGCTGATATTCGACATGCTTGACTGGAACGCCTCTGGAGAGATTGGTTTCGAAGAGTTCTACTTGCTCGTCTGTATCCTGCTGTCCAATGAGGTACACAGGCCACCTTTTGGAAAAAATGGCTGAAAGGATTTAAGGGGATTATCCTGGGAATTCCAATCCAGTGGGTTTCCTGGGTCACCTTTCTAAGTAATGGGGAACTAATTTGAGGAGAGATTTAAACCTCTTTGATTCAGTGAGGAATGGGTATCTCTAACCCCTCAGGCTGTTGACTCTCTTAATGACTTCCTTGAAAAAAGTACCTGTTTAGCGCATCACAATTCAAATGCAAAACTAAAAGCTTTTATAGGAAGCACACACACACACACAAAAGAGGAACTCACTGCAGCACAAAACAAATCATATCTTCTGCATCAAGCAAACTGCTGTCTAATCACAGTCCCTTAACTGTTGCCATAGTACTTTGAGTGCAGCACTAAGCCGTTGGTTACAAAATGTCTAAACCCATCCGTTACTAAGACAGGCATGAGCTCAAATGTGCGAAACAAAGATCAAGAGAAAACAGTCAAAAGACCAACAAAACACATGAATCTGTAAGCTGCAGGCTTTGATAAATTGCTGATTTTAGGGGCAGTTTTGGATGGCGATAGCGTGATCGTTAGAGGATCAGAGGTGTCATGCCTCCATTTGTAAAACCCCAGAGAGGAAACGTGTGGATGTTGTGCGTCGTTGCCTTGCGCGTTCATGTTGCATCTGTCCCGTCTGCTGCTCTTCTCCCCCGGCCTGGCTGGTGCCCCCACGGCCCCAGAACCACGTGGAGAAGCAGTTCATCTCACGGCACTCCCGGCCCGTGTTTGAGCTCATCGACATGGACGGGGGGCGCACCATCAGCCCCGGCGAGTTCCAGGCCTCGGGCTTCCTCTTCAACCTCAGGGGCCACGCCCTCAACCGGATCTTCTACGACTTCGACGTCTCCGGGGACGAGGTAGGGCCGGGAGGGGGGGGGTTGGAGCGGGGGTTCTGGGGCCTCTTAGCACGGCGGCGGGGGGCCAGCACTCTTTCGCAGTACCGTCTCGTTAAACCCGAGCTCCGAACTCCCGAATCGAGCTTGAGATGTGGTCTCGAGCTGCCGATGATCGAAAGCGAGCAGAAAAAAAAATCAAATCAGATTGCTGCTCCTGAGGAATGAGGGGCTTCATCACTCCACAAAGTAGGACTGGTATGCACAGGTATGTATGCACATAGCCTCTTCCTGGGATGATTTGTATGATTAAGGTGAGGTTCAGCTGATCTCTCAATAGCAGAAAAATCTGGAGCATTCTCTTTGACAAGGTGGTGCACGTTAGCAGTGTTATTAAAGAGACAAAAATGCAACACAGGATAGTTTCAGGGATGTTATCCGAATGCACTGTGGCTGAAATAAAAGATAAATCACTGTTGAATTTACATATAAAATTGTGCCTTTCGTTTTTAGCAATCCCAAACTCTCTTGGATTAGCCCTCTATTATTACTAGCTACAGTACTGCGTTTTTCAGGCAGTGTCCTCTTTTGTCTGCGTGACAGTGCTGCTTTTCATGAAAAATGATTCCAGAAGAATGATTAGTGCTTTAGTCCTCTGCAGCTCACACAAGAGTGGGTTGACTAATTGCTCTTCCACGAATGTGTTGAGTCAATATAACAGAGTAGGTTAAAGTGTCTGCTCAAGTTTGCCATCTCGGTTAATTAAAGAGAAAGATCCGATTTTTCCCTTTTTTCAAAAAAGGGGAAATTTGTGTTCACACTTCCACCTGCCAGCAGCTAGACTTGTCTGCTATGTCTGCGCAGCTCTTTTACAGTGTCACTGTTCCTCTCCTGACTCCAGATTCACTCAGCAATGGAGAAAGATAGAGCATGAAAGTTCACAACCTGACGTGCAGAAATGCCATCTGATGGCAGCTTTTCATGATCTGCTGATTCATGTCACATCTGGGGCCCAGATCACAAACTTAACCACAGAGTTCCTTCCTGCTGCAAATTTGAGAAAGCTGTAGATGCTGACATATTCACACTGCATGAGATGGAAAGTCACATGCCTATAAAGCCTGACTTATAATCAGGGTGTCATGAGGTAGGTTAAAAGTCAAGTTGTTCCTCACACCTGACCCTTAACACTTTGCTCAAAGTGAGACATATATCAACAGTTCTAACCAGCGAAGTTGAAAATCGGTTCTGACTGGTCATGACTTTTAGATTCAAGTTGCAGACCATCAGGAGAGACACCCCCACTGTTAAATTCTCCCCTTCTTTCTGGCTTAGAATGTCTGCCAGATGTCAACCAGGTGGGTGCTGCACGTCAGTGGTGGAGGAACATGCTGGGATCCTTCGGGATTAAAATCAAAAGTGCAAACCTAGGTTAATAATATCAAGAGCGACCAGGACTGGGGACTCCTGCTGCAGACACCCTGACCCTCCAGGACTGGGGACCCCTGCTGCAGACACTCTGACCCTCCAGGACTGGGGGCCCCTGCTGCAGACACCCTGACCCTCCTGGTCGGGGGACCCCTGCTGCAGACACACTGATCCTCCAGGACCAGGACTGGGGACCCCTGCTGCAGACACTCTGACCCTCCAGGACTGGGGGCCCCTGCTGCAGACACCCTGACCCTCCAGGACTGGGGACCCCTGCTGCAGACACCCTGACCCTCCTGGTCGGGGGACCCCTGCTGTAGACACACTGATCCTGCAGGACCAGGACTGGGGGACCCCTGGGTTAAACTGTCAAACCCTGTAGGTGTGGAAGTAGTAGATGCTGTTAAACACTCTCTATCATCTGTTTTCTTTAATGGGACAGGGTGCTGGCTTTGACTGAGGAGATCCCGGGACAAGTAAAAGGCAAATGGCAGCCCAGTGACAGGGAGATGGGGGAAAACCATAGAGAGAACTGGCAGAAAACTGGCAGAAAACCAAAGAGAGAAAACCATATTCCATCTTCTCGTCCCAGAACCTGAACTACAAGGAGTTCAAGATGTTTGCCATGGCGTGCATCGACATGCAGGAGGAGACGCGTGAGAAGGAGAGGAGGAAGCTGAAGGAGATGAGGAGAACGCTGAGGACCCTGAAGATCCAGCCCCAGGACCCCAGCACCAGCCAAGAATGAGATAGCAGCCAGAGGCCTCTCCTGGCACAGACAGCAGGCAGCACCACTCCCTTCGGTCAAGCCAGAGATTTACATGAATAAATACTAATATTTGTACCCTCCCTCGAACATGACATATCTTGAACAGTCATAAATATAGATCTACATACTGTGCATATATAAAGGACTTTAGGTTAATTCATTCCTTGCATTAATATTGTGCTTTACTTACAATAGGGGACTTACTTCACCCTCCCATGAAATGCAGCACCATTCTGCACCTGCAGCCCCATGACACACAGATCAGGGGAGAATAGAGAAACTGTACAAGACCAGAGTGGGGTTCAGTCCTCCTGCAGCCCCACGACACACAGATCAGGGGAGAATAGAGAAACTGTACAAGACCAGAGTGGGGTTCAGTCCTCCTGCAGCCCCATGACACACAGATCAGTGGAGGAGAGAGAAACTGTACAAGACCAGAGTGGGGTTCAGTCCTCCTGCAGCCCCACGACACACAGATCAGGGGAGGAGAGTGAAACTGTACAAGACCAGAGTGGGGTTCAGCCAGGACACTAGTATGAACAACTCTGGGATCTATTAGGACTTTGCATGTTATTGTATATCATACATAAGGTACAAAATATTCACAGATGGCCAATATATTTAGAATTTACATAGTTCTAGGGCTCTATTTGGTTGAAAGAGGCAGACTACTAAGATAATAAGCTCCGACCTCACATGGCAAAGAGTCAGGACAGCAGTCAATGGCACACTCTGATGCACTGCCCAGGTGGTTGTTGTTTTTCGTGGTGGATAAACCAAGCATGTTCTTATTTTTGGACTTACAGGAGCTGTATGTCCAAGTGGGCAAAAAAGATGGATTCTAATAATTACCCTGACTGGAACTCCACCTCCCCCTCGCACTGTGGGAATTACCTGCAGCTTTGGGGTTTCCTCAGCAATAAATCGAGCCTCCCTGCTCCTGCCTGAAGGATTCGTCTCTGCAGAAGTTAAGGAACTGGTCTGGCGAGTACCGAGGAGAGCAGTTTTTGCTCACATAATGTCCCCAATGTGCCTGGAAGAGCTAAGCCGTGAAGAACTATTTATAGCCCAATTTTACTACCTCTTCAATTTCCCTTTTCCTTGACAGCTGAGAATCTCTCCAAGTGCTTGGTATATTTTTAAAATGAGTTCTAGTTCCTCATTTGGCTGTTACAGGTCCTGACAGCTGTGTTTTGCAGGAAATCCCCAGAAGGTATATTCTGTGCTTCAATCTGTGTGTGTGTGTGGGGGGGGGGACTTTGATTTCTCCAAACAAGGCCTCCATGACCTTTAGAATAAACACTTCTGCTTTCCTCTCCCTGAACTTTGAAGTCTGGGATGTTTTGAACCTGGTCTCGGTAACCTTTAATCCACAGACCCTCTCCTGTCTCCGGAATTTTCTTAAATGATCACTTTTCCACATAATTAATTTCTTTTTTCTTTAAATATTTTTTTATGTTTTCTGAGTTATGGGGAAAGAACTAGACCCAGCGCAGTACACACGAATAACTACTTCCTATCAAGTGCTTTGGAAACTATCAATGTAGTTTTGGAGTATTCATCTTTTACACTGAATGCAAGTTGCCTTCAGATTAAAGTATCATCTTAAAAAAGGTTGATAACAACAATAAAATATTATTAATACTAAATCAGCCTAATTATTCAGTTTTTAATGGAAAAATCCAGTTCTCAGGGTCTGGTTCATGGACAATCTGGGCAGTTGTAAAATCTCTCAATATCCTTGCACATGGAGACTTCCTGCTGAAAAAGAGTGTCTTGCATTTTGGTGTGTTGAAATTTTAATATAATCCACATCTAAGTGTGTCAGGTGCAACTCTGTCCCCACCCCCCTCAACTCTGGGATTCAATCATGTAGTCTCAGAGGTGCTCCACCTGTGTTGGAGCCACAGAGCACCTCTGCCCACTACACCAAAGGGCCAGGACTCATGCCAATTAAGTTTTCAGCATTATACAGCTCTAATGGCACAATCACAAATCCACTCACCTTCTGGCACAGGGTCAGTGCCAGATGAGCCCCCCACTAAACTCCTCTCTCTGTCACAAAAGCTTCAGCAACTGATAGGTGTCAGTCAATGGTATTCATGAAACTAAGCCCCACCCCCCAGTGTTCAATCATTGCTGAATTCAATCATGTGAATTCTGCTACGCCAAAGGGCCAGGCCTCCTGCTGCAGGAGAATTCAATGCTATCCAGGTTCCAGAGTGGTGATGTCACCTTCTGGAAGAGACTCAGGCCCAAATGCAATCTGGACTAAGCTTCATTTACACCCCTTGAAGCTACACAAACAGAAAATGCATCCAGCAACAAAGAATGGAGAAAGAAAGGGCCAAGCCTACATAAATGAAAGCAAATAACACTTACACTGCCACCTCTGTGAAGACTCTTTACATTTAAATAAGTCATTCAAGTCTTAAAATAAGCACTTATAAAGTTTTATTCAATTTTTGGACATTTTCTTAAAGATTACAAAAAAAGACACAAGCGCACAAAGTCTAACTAGAAAAAAAAATAAGTATAAACATCAAAAAGGTCCTAGAATCATTTATTTCAGTAAAAGCTGCAGTCCAACAGATGACTCCAAAACCTCAAGTCCACGGCAAACAAAGTTAAAAAAAAAACAACACAAAAAAATTTAGCTTAAACCACCAGAAAGGCACATTTTGGTCAGGGAATAAATAAAAGAAAAGATTTAAGCTTCTAGGTTTAGTGCCAACAATATGAAAAACATGACTTAAAATAAGGGATGCATTGTGAATGTCCTTTGATAGATCACTGTGCTATTCACAGGTATCATTCGGTTATTCTGACATGTCATTTCAGATTGGTCCAGAAACAGAACGGCTTGACCTTGGATTCACTTTGTCCCTTACTGAGAGGAGACCAGCAGATGAACAAATGCCCTGGAGAAGAAAAAACTGGACCTGAAAATACACAGCAAAGCTCAGATCTACCAGCTGAAATCACCTCCCTGACTGGACTTCTAGCACTGTAAAACGCAAAGCAATTTCAGATAATACTTTAAAGGACCAAGGCCCAGACCTTGAACTACAAAAACCGAATAGCCCTCAAGCACATCTCTGTGAGACTTATCCCCATGATAATCCATTAAGAAGCCTAAGAAGACTAATGCAGTCTCTTTAACCCATCGCTTAATCTCTGCCGTTCTAAATATTTAATTACCCGCACAACCTCAAAATCATGCAGCGGTTCAGTAGTTACATTCGTTTCGCATAAAGCGAGTGGCTCCGATTTTGTTGTGAAGTTTTGAAACGGTTATCAAAGCAACAGACATCATTGATCATAGAGAAATAACCATATATAGCTACATTTATTTTTATTAGGGAATATTTTCATTTGGGTGAAACTGAAAGTGCTATGCTGTTACTAATATTTTTTTAAAAAATCATTAGCAAGTTTTATTGTTGCTGACACTACTGACATTCTCAAAGGCCCTTATTATTACCAGTTTTAAATTATGCTATTATCTATCATTCATGCCCAGTTACCTAATGGACTAATAACAGTGCTTAATTAGGAACTGTGTTCTAAAAACCTAAGTGAACTCTTTACCTTATAGAAACTCTTCTTTAAATGTGCAAGAGACTAGCATTATATACATTGTCGGAGTCTCATGTAGTGGAACAAACAGCTGTCTAAACAAGTACAGAAAATGGAGGAGAAATTCTCCCCTTTCGGATGGCAGGAGGAGGAAGATTACAGGGCAAAAGGAAAGGCTGAGCTGGTGTTGTTTGAGTTTGGATCACCACAGTCATGTGTCCTTGTGTTTTCCAGATCTAAAGTTTCAAAAGGCCAAGTTTTGATTATTTCAAGGTCCAGGTTGTCCTGTGCTTGTAATTGCTGGAGGTTTATAGTATGTTTCACTTATACATGAAACTTTGCCAGACATTTTAAAGTTAATTCACCATCTTCAACTGTGCTTCCCAACTTCCTTTCTTCCACAGACAGAAGAAGGGCCTGTTGTTTGTCCTTCTTTCTCTGACCAATTGGCCAACAAGTGTTGGGTCACCTTCAGTGTTCCTCACAACTGTATACACACAGCCACTCTCGGCAGCCAGATTAATCACGGACCAAGCGACCTGATCCACTCTCTTGTTAGCATATCAAGATGGCTTCGAATTCAAAATGATGGGTTCACCAATTGCAGTGGAATTTCTCTGATATTGAGAGAACGTAAAGTAAAAAAGTTAAATAATGAATGGAAAAAGTCTCTCAAAGAATTCCGACCTGGGATATAGAAAATACACGATCAACAGGGGGTGTTTAAAAAGTTATACAGCAGCAAGATGATCTCCTCTCCACCTCAATTTAAAACGTGCTTCAAAAAAAAAAACACAGGCATATACAATATGACGTCCGATAATACAGTGGCACTTCAGAATATGATGTAACTAACTCCACAATCCCATGACTGACACAAGTTTTTGTGAAGCTCGATTGTGAATTCAGTAACAAAAATATCTTTACAGGAATACAAACATTCTAGAGGTCTGCCTTGTACCAAGATGAACACCACATGAGAATAACTGATTTCAAAGCCATATGTTCTTGAGCAGTGAGGAACTGTGACCTATTCATGTTGTCTGCAGTTAGCTCAGAGTCTCAAGGAGCAGTGTCCTGAAACAACAGTTTGATTTAACATAATCTGGTCAGGTAAGAGAGAAGTCATCTGGCTGATCGATAAAATACTCATCTTAGGAGAAGGTCAAAGAGCTGACATGTACATTTTGTTAAGGTTGTGGACCCAGAAACCCAGGTCAGCCTCACGCACAGCAATCCTGAGAATGCAAGAGCCAGAAGCCCCCATATTCATGCTAAATCCAGGGAAAAAAATGTTTGAAACAAATTTGAAACATTTGCCAGGGCAGTGTTAAAAATACTCAAAGATTCTCAATAGTCTTGGTGTTTCCTCAACCTGAAAAGGAAAAGCAACGCTGGTATTGCAGAAGGAAAACCTTTTAAAAGGGTTACAAGTAACTTAAGAGTTTCACAGACTTTGCACAAAGATCCCTGGCTTCAAGTCACCTGATGACTGTCCACGGCATTTTTATTTGAAAATCAATCATCTGTTCAAGGCATATGCACAAGACAAATGTTTTGATTTTTTAATAATAAAGTACTACCACACAAACAAAAAAAGCTGACATATTATTGCCCATGACCAAATTGCCCTAATACAGAAATATGTCAATGTAAATCAAATATATCCCCTTGAAATGAATTAAATGGAACAAAAATAAAAAGAAGAATATTTGCAGCTTTAGTGTAAAATATGTGCAGCTCATATTTTTTGTAAACTGATGTTTTTTTTTCAGAAAAGCTTTTCAATGGCTGCTCTACGATTCAAGTGCAATTAGGGCTGTCTTTTTTAAAGTTGCAGGTGTGAATGCAAGTCAGTGTGCCTGTCTGCAGTCCTTGGGGACTTGCAGAAAAAAGGAAAACAAATTTAACTTTGGGATTTCTCTCGCAGGGCAGCATGGTGAGCATTGCTGACTTGCAGAGCTGGGACCCTGGGCTAAATTCTGGACCTGGGGTCCTATCTAGGTGGAGTCTGCATGTTCTTCCTGTGTTCACAAGGGTTTTCTCCAAGTGCTCCAGTTTAGCCCCACAGTCCAAAGACATACCAGTAAGGTAAACTGGCTTCTGGGAAAATTATCCCTGGTGGGAGTGTGTGTGTGCGCGTGTCTGTGTCTATATATGCCAGGTTTCTCGTCCAGGGTGTAACCTGCCTTGTGCCTGTTGCTTCCTGGGATAGGCTCGGGCTCCCCAGTTGTCTAACTGTACACGACAAAGTAGTTAGAAAATGGATGTATTTCTCTTACAGACATTTTTCTTAAACACTGCTTTGCTGGTCACCGCATGTGCTCCGTGCATGTAGCTCATAGGTTATGGTGTGACACTGCACTTTTGATGTTGATCACAGAGCCTGGCCTGAAACAAGCAGGAAGCCACATTAAAACACACAGAGGCAAAAGGAAAGAAAATAAATCAACTACATTTTGACACTCCGATTAAAAGCTAGGCCCTTTGGGGGAGCTGTACAAAACTACAGCAACCTGACACAAAAGATGCAGGACTGCGGCGTGCCTTGTGCCTACCTCATATTCACTGGGGCCACTGGGTGACAGCTGAAAAGGACTCATAGATTGCTACATGTTACTGAAACAACAGCTCTGCGTTCCACAGAGCACCCTAAATCACAATCCGAGCTCCGTACACCTGTGTGCCAAAAATGAAGATCAGCAGCAGTGTCTAAACTATCGACGCAGAAAGGCACACAATGTGTATCCTCAGGTTTTAGACATTCAGCTCTAGGCAGCATATGGCTTCTGAGACTCCCCCAACCCAAACATGGATGAACTCACAACATCAGCTCACCCACCAGTCACCAATGCACCAACCCAGGATTGTGCGCAGTGACGGCTTTTGGCAGCCAGAGCTTCATCTGGAAAGTTGCAATTGTCAGGTGGGGCAGAAGTTGAGATTTAATTCCTGCTGAAAACCGCAGGCATGTGGCGGTGCTCTGCTGCAGGGGTGCCCACACATCTGCTGCTTTTCTTTCCAGCCCAGCTCTGAGTTACACATATCGAACCCCTTGACTGACTTAATAACAGGATTGATTTGCTCTGTTTGACAGCCATTAAGCATGTGGGAGGTTGCCTTTTAACTACTGCATCTCTTAACTAACATACAATTTCCAACATTTGAGTATAAAAAGACATGCAAATGCTCCAATCAAGCAAGGCATTAAAGGCTTCAATGGAGCAGTTAAACTCAGATGGACACACCTGCTGGTTTTTGCTCCAGCTGATCACCTAATTAAATAATTTAACCCTCGATAGATCATTTTTCAAATAGTTTTTAGTTCCTAAACATGTAAGACTGTGCCTTCTAACTATTGCATTTAAATAATTTAAGATCTCCTGCCTTTGTCTAGAAAAGAGAAGAACTTGCAAAAAATGTGTGAGCGTCAAGGATCAGGATTGGACACCCATGATTTTAATCAACCCCACCTACAGGACAGGTCCCTTTAAAACAAGTATTACAGTCACAGTGCATTAGGGAAAAGACTGAATTGGTTCATTTACACCTTAATTGGGCTGATTAGTAGGCTAATGATTTAGAGAAAAGCAGAATCCGTAACATTCAGACGCCAACATAATAAAATGCAATTGGCTGTTGGATCACGACGCAGAAAAAGCCTCCTGTAGCTTGTTTTGGAGTTCTGCACGATTGTATGAGTGCACCAAGACTTTGAATAAAAACGGTCTGCATTACCCACTCCACCTGAACCTTTGTGTTTTAATTAAAAGCACAAGACGGAATCGTCTCCCTGGAGGCCCATGACTGGAGACTCTGGTTAAATTGTGTGCTAAGGTTTTTTTCTGCGCATAATCTACAGGAATTTCAATTCTTCTTTCCGGAGATTCTGCACAAACCTAACCAAGTGCAGAATGTACCATCTCAACAGGCATAAAGGAAATGGAGATACGAGACTGTTCATAAAAGTGGCCATTTGTGTTTGAATGGAAAGATCTGCTGTGAGCACGCACAGATTAGCCAAACAAATAATAAAGTCTTTTAAACCAAAATGCCATAAACAATTTTTATTGGTGGAAGAGGAATGAAAGTACACTTCTCTGCTAGTGAAATCAGAAGATCTAAAAAAGCATCTGTCAGGGCCTGGATAAAATTACTCAAAATAATATTTAGAGTGCAGAAATTGTATTGGCTGGGATGGTGGCCGTGTTCTAATCCCATAATGAAGGTGCAGTTATTTTCGATGTGAATAACTAGTTTTGCTGTAATACTATTTTTTTTTCTCAAAGAAAAGGGAATTTCAGAATTGCTCCTATTTCACCTATTTCACTGAAACGTTCACCTGGGATGAGATAGCCCACCAGTTTATTCTTTGTGAACTTCTAAGGAGTTGCATAAAATAATTATATTTCGGCCTGTGTCTCTTGTTAGTTTTGTGGAAATATAGAGATACAAATCCTCTGGCTTGTGATTGTTTTGTTTTTGTTGTGCGTCGTAAACATTATATGCGTTAGAAAATAGGCAGGCATGAAAAACTTGACTTGATGACTCAGTAATAAACATAAAACAGTGGCTTCTGGATAAATATGTCTGTTTTAGCGCCTTTAAACAAACCCATAACCCCAGCACTGAATACTACAGAATCAGCAGCCAAAGAGCTGTGGGAGAAAAAATTAAGGCAGTGAAAACCTCTTTTCCCCCCGGAGGATCTTATCTGTTCATCTGACGATTTTGTTTTTCTGTGATTCATATTTTTGGTTGCTCGTTTTTCTTAAAAGAAAAGGAAAACGACAAGACTTTAAAAGCCAACAGTGAAAAAACGAAAACAAAAGGCCGCGACGACGACAAAACCGCCTGCGGCATTTCCAGGCGGCCATCCTGTCGGCTCCGACGTCATCGCGCTGCGACGCCACCTGCCGGCGAGCCTCTTCGTCGCAGCCGGCTCGTCGGCCGCGACCTCTCGTTCCGAATGTTGGAACGGGAGCAGAAGTTTAAAAGGGAGAAAAACAGAAAAGAAAAAAAAAATACAAAAGCCAGAAAAGCACAGATACTTATTAGTATAAAGTTTTTTTTTAGTTCTCCACAGGTGTGGGATTTTGCAGCGGTTGACTGACAATGACCTGCACCACGTAATCCTTGGGAATCTTTAGTTCTTCAAGTTTCATTTTGTCCGTCAGCGGCCGGCCGGAGAAGAACCAGCGCTGGCTGGCCGGGGCGACGCTCTCTTCTGCATGGAGCCGCCTCTTCATGTGGTGCACCGTGTCCGTGCTCCGCACCGTCAGCCTCAGGTCCTTGCCCGTGGAGAGCCGCAACCGCAGCTGACACTCGTGCCCGGAATTGGGCGGCGGGTCCGGCACGTCCAGGATCTCCAAATCGCTCTTCTCCTCGATCATGTTGACGGGCGGCGCCAGGCAGTAGACGGGGAGCTGGTATCTGTTGCCAAGCTCATCGTAGCACTCGGTCAGGGCGCCTGGCAAAGAGAACAAATGGGAGTTAAAAAAAAAAACGCATCAAAAACTGAAACGTTAGATTTTTAACTTCCCGAACGACTGCCCCCAATGAGCAAGCCTGAAAATGTATCCTTTCGTCGCCAGGCAAAAAAAAAATACAAGTCATTTTTAAATTAAAACAACACTAAGAAAAACGGGTGGATTTTTTTTTTACTCATTCCAGACGTTTTGGAATCAGTAGGAGGATCTCCCAAGTGCAACGCTCATAGTCCAGCCAAAGGTCAAGACAGTAAAAACCACGACCTCCCTGCCGTCTCGCTCAGATCCAGGCCTTTACAGTTTTAAATAAGTGAATCAATTTTTCAGATACCTCTTTTCTCCCCACCCCACACAAATTTAATGAATCCATTAATTAAACCCATAAATCTGTTGGGGTTAAACCCTTGAAAAGTGAAACTGAAGGGCGCTGTCTTGTAGCGAAAGAAGAGGAGCAGATGAGAAAGGCGATTTGGGGAAAAGAGGGTAGCCAGTATCAAAGCTCTATGAATTGGCTTTCCTAAAAGAAAACAACACTGTGTAAAAAAAAAAAACAGCAATACAGGTGCAAGTGGGGAGCTGTGTGTGTGTACAAGCTGCAAAGGAAAAGCAGAGGTTCAGAATACCCCTCTGAGAAGCTGGGAAAAAAACATTTCAGTTGCTGATCCTTCTTCAGGCGAGTCTGCGAAGAAACAGACTTTTTACTTTTCCACAGGGAATTAACCTCCATATGTTTTCAGTATAAAAATCCAAGCAAACCATTAAACTACCAGTTAAAAGATAAGGTCAAACAAGAGGTTTCTAAACATATCTCCATGGTGCAAAGAATCCCTGACTGTCCAAGGAAGTGAATTTCAAAGACATGGCTCCAGTCACCCACAGATTTTAAAACTGGTCTTCATCCACCCATGAAGGACTGTCTCGATTCAGTTAGACTTCAGTAAGTCTATCTTGATTTCCACAGGCTGCCAGTGTAGTGACTCCTGTACAGGTGTTAACATGCTGAAAAGATGAGATGCTGTTTAAAACCAGGCGGCAGACTTGCACATTTTATCTTGTTTTCTTCTGTAATGTCACAAAAGTCAAACCAGTGTTTCTAAATCAAGGATAATCTTAAAATAAGCAAGGTGGCAGAAAGATGCTTTTGTGATGCCTTTAACATGGGTACTAAAAGGATGAAGGTCTGTATAGTGTGTACAAAACCCTGGGACCATGCTGGTCTTGGAAACTCAGCAGTCTCAGCAGTCCCTGTAAATTACAACAGACTATGATGTACAGTGCTCTGCAAAATCAGTACAAGATTATGTTAAAGCAGAGAGAGGTTCGCTAAAGCAAATTCATGAGCATGAAAATTCCACGAGAACCCTGAAAACACCATGCGAGCCTGCTATTATCAGCTCTTCCAATGGCATATATATTCTGTTCTTTGGAATGTTTTTTTTTAACAATAGAGCATGTGCCAATGTTTTTTTTTCTTCATTTCGTGCAGTTCAAACTCTGTCATGATCGGCAAGCTGTACAATATTTCCACACGGTCTCACAAGTCTTCATTTCATAATCCAAAACTCATTTGGACCACGTTATTTTTAATGGACAGGGGGCTCCTGACCATGTCAGAAGATGTTAGCAGAGGTCTTCATAATTCTGAGGGACTCATCCACATGCAATACTGAGATTGAAATTCCTCTGTGCTGGGCCCAGGCTGAACACACAGACCAGAAAAAAGTGAGCAACACTAGCATTAATACATAAATGAATACCTGTGAACTAGTACAGTTTTCCCACTTGTCTTTCCACATCACGTTTTGCTTAACCTGGTGGGGATCTATTGAGTAAGCATGATAGAAAAAAAGACAGCGCTACTCCAAAGAAGCAGGGGCTGGTTCAAAGTACAAGCATGGACATTCCCAGGCTTAAATGTCTCACTTTGACAGGTTAAAAGAGCAAAAGCTCTTTGGTTTGAAACACAGAAGATTACAAGAGGACCAGATTTCAGTATCCCAAATCCTCAAAAAGTATTGTCAAAGTCAACCAAATTGTATTTCTTCGGGATCAGCAGTGAAACAAACCAGAGAACACGTGGTTAGTAGGAGGTTAGTGTGTTAGTGTGTTCTTTACACAAAGGTTTTTTGGGACTACAGAACAAGCTCCTCAAAAATTTGGTTGAATAAGATGCTCTGGCTTTAAAGAAACGGATGGAGAATATCCTTGGATCGAATACCTATTTAAAACTGACAACTTGGGGCACTTTATGTACACAAACGATTGTGGGTGCCTGGGATTGTTGGCAACCCAGCCCTGTTGTTGAAACCAATGCTCTGTGCCAAACAGAAAATTTTAACACTGGCATGTTGGCCTTGTATGTCATGCAGGGCCAGACTTAGACACGTATGCAGAAACAGTATACAGTATTTATTCAGTCGGCACAGATTTCAGCTAATGACACAGAGCTGACATTTATGTCAAACAAGTGGAGCATATTACTCACTCATGCTGATCTGTGAGTAACTATACTGTTTCTTTCTTATTTCCAGTTTTTAGAAAGTAAGAATGTACAGTACCTCAGGTAACGTGCAGGGACAGTTTGCCACTAGAGGGAATCATCCTCCATTTCAAAGGGAAATATTGTTTTTTGTAGTCAAAAGAAACACACAGACCTCAATATTCAGAGACATGGTATGAGTCACTGTGTATCTGTGCAAAACACCCTCACGCTTTCTAATTAGCTCTGTCATCTGTGACTTTGGAAAGAGAGAGAAAAGTGGAAAGCCTCTTTTAAAACCTTGTTACTCGATTCCTATTTAGTCTTTATATTAACCTCTTCAGAATGGGGGAGGACACAAAGAATCCTCTGTGTGGAACATTTCCATCGTAGTAGGTGTGGCTGTTAGCCTCCCTGCTTTCACCCATGAGACACACACTGTACAGGTATTCTGCACCTGCAGCCCCACTGCACACAGATCAGGGGAGGAGAGAGAAACTGTTCCAGACCAGAGTGGGGTTCAGTCCTCCTGCAACCCCACGGCACACAGATCAGGGGAGGAGAGAGAAACTGTAC